GGAAGGTAAAAGAAACTGCTCGGGACAGTAGAGATTTTACTTATAACCATATAACTTGTCTCCATGTAGCACAGTTTTGGGAAAACATTTTAATGAAAGTATAATACACTCATGAAAGAAAAAGCTTGATGAATTTCTGCAAAGTGACATAACCATGTTAACACAGCCTAGACCACAGCGTAGAATGCGGCTAACGCTGCGAGGCCTTCTTCGGGCCACTCCCCAGTCGTTATCCCCCACCCAAGGTAACGACCGTTCTGATTTCTACACAGGTTCCTTTGCCACGCCCATCATTCTTTGGACATTTCTTAACCTTCTGGCACAGTGAGATGTTCCAGGATCACCTTTTACTTTATCTGCCCCAGCATTGGAATCAGTCATTTCTTCAAGGAGCCCTGGTTCCATTTTGTGTAGAATGGTATTTGGAAAGGAAGACCTGGATGCTAAGTGCGCTTATCTTGCTGCTGGAGTGTCGGTGGGCTCAGAAGGGCAAGGAAAAGAGGGCGCTGTCTCTCCCTCTCTCGATCTCTGCCTCATCTCTATCTCTCAGCTATCTTTCTATCTCTATCTACTGTCTCTCATCTCTCTCCATTTCTCTCATCTATCTCTCTATCTCTATCGCTATCTCTATCTCTATTTCTAATCTATAATCTATCATCTATCTCTCTATCTCTATCTTTATCTCAGCCCCTAATCTAGGAGTTCATACTCTACTCCCAAATCTTATCTAACATTTCAGTCTTTCTCTTTTCTGTTTGCAAGTCCTTCCTGTATGTGAGAAATCTGGCTGACATTACCCTCAGTATATTTACTCATTTGCCCAGGCTTAAGCTCACAGAAAGCAGTTTTGAATTGCTAACCCAACTGCTATAAAAAACATACCTACTCACCAGTGTTTGGTATTTATTAGAAAGTTTTTGTCTTTGAGGGTATATAGTCAAAAACCTGTATTCAAAAGTAGTTATTTTTTCCATGCAATTATGTTATTCACTTGAAATATACTTAGGCTCTTTTGTTTCTGTTTATATTCCATATCAGGTTTCTTTCCCCTCCACCTTTGTTAATTTAACATCATCATCATCTTGAGTGAGTATATGAAGCATTAAGGTTCCAAAACCTATAATTACACAAAAAGCTATATTCAGAGGAGTGTTACTTCCCCTACTCCACCCTACCTACCTTGTTAATGTGCCCTCATTAGTTTCTGGTTCAACTTTCTGGAATTGCTTTTGTAAATATAAATACCTTTTATAATATCTTATTTCTCTTATTTCTTGCACAAAAGTTGCATACTATATATAGTCTTCTGCACTTTGCTTTTTTGGGCTGACAACAAAGATGCCTTGGACATACATCACTCCATACCACATGTCCTTTAGTTTCTATGAACAGCTGCATAGTATATACCATTGTGTGAATATATCATAGTATATTCAACCTGTCTTCTATGTGAGTTTCTTTCCCAATATTTTTCAGTTACAAAGAGTGCTATACCTTGTTCATATGTATTTTTGTACTGGTGGAAGTGTACCTTCAAGATAATTTTAGATGTGGGCAAAAGTAAACCCATTTGTGGTTTTGTTAGATCCTGTCAAATTCTCCTCCCACGAGATGGGACATTCCCACCAGCAATGTATGAGGGTGTCTTTTTCCTTGGGCTTTGTCAAGAGAATGTGCTGTCAAACTTTGTAATTTTCCCCAGACCTAATCATTGGGAAATGGTATCTCAGCATAGCGATAATTTGACTGAAGTTGTCCGTCTTTTCATATGTTTAAAGGTCATTTACAAATCTGTATTTGTGAATTGTATGTGACTTTTGCTTATTTTTTTATTGTGTGTTTTTTATCTTTCCTCTCTCAAAACTTTAGAGTTCTTTATGTATTTAGGATGGATGATCATGCTTTAATTTTGATGCCTGTTAATCATAGTTATTTTAAAATCAGTGTGAATCTGTGGGACTATTTTATTGTCTAAAAAAAAATTCTTTTGCGTCTTGGTCATTTCTTCCTCTTTCCTAATAGGCCTGGTAGTTTTTGATTGAATATCAGACTTTGTGTGTAAAAAGTTGTGGAGACCTGGAATGGTGGCGTTTTCCTGCAGAGATGATCTAGGTTTCTGTTGACTAACAGATGATGTTTGGGCAGATAACCTTGATCAAGGCTGGTCAATTTGGGGTTTGCCCTCTCTCTAAGGACCCCTTTGGGGTCAAAACTGAATTCAGTCTGGGGTCTTTACCTTCCTTCTTGGCAGTCCTCAGCACAATGGGACTCCTGTTTTCTCCCTAGATTTTTAGCCTTGTAGCATTTGGGTTCTGCTGGCTTCTCGGTCTCATCTGAGCACGTGCAGCCTGGGAGTCAGCAAATGCCTTGAGGGGAATTTGCACTCTAAAGCTCACTTCTCTGCAGCTCACTCTTCTCCAGGATGTTAGCCTTTCAATTTCTGTCAGCGACACAGCAAGACCACTGCAAGCTCCAGGTTGCTGTTATCTCTTCGGCCTTTATTCCCTACACAGTGAGTTGGCAAATACCCTGATGAGAAACAGCAGTAGCAAGTGCAAGGCCCACTCCAGTGTGTTGCCCTGTCCCCACGGTTGCAGCCTGTAGAGTCCCGCTGCCTTGATTATTTCCTCCTGCCTTCAAAGAGCTCTTCCTTTACATTTTATCCAGCTTTTAGAGTCGTTCTCAAAGAGAAGGGTTATTCTGATACTAGTAATTCCATCATGGCTGGTAGCAGTAGTCAACTTTCCGCTTAGCACATTTCATTAAATCTGTATGGAAATGAGAGAACACAGTCAAACTGACAAAANGGTAGCAGTAGTCAACTTTCCACTTAGCACATTTCATTAAATCTGTATGGAAATGAGAGAACACAGTCAAATTGACAAAGCATTTTAAAACTGACAAGGAAATTGGCCACTGCTGGGAAGGGTATAAATTGGTACCACCTTTCTGGAGGGCATTAATTTATATCAAAATCCTTAACAATTTGTTTGCCCTTTGACCCAGCAATTCTGCCTCGAGGTATTTATTTTAAGAAAATAATCACAGGTGTGTGTGAAGGTTTGTTTACAAAAATTTCAATCCCAGTCAACAAAATTGGAATCAGAGTCCTCAGTGTGCAACAATAGAGCATTTTATAAATTGTGCTTTGATACAGTGGAATATAATGGAATTCAACATTGCAAATGATGTAGGAGAGTATTTAAACATAATAACCTATTGTTAGCATAACAGATTACAAAACAACATGTGGTGTATGGTCTAGTTTAAGAATATTTATACAGCTATATAAATATAAGACTAAATTAATGCATGCACATGGAAGTGTTAAGAGCTGGTATTGTTGTATTGTTGTTTCTTTTCCCCCTTTGTTTATGCATATTTAAAAAAATTTCCATAGGGCATTACTTTTGTTCTAAAAGAAAATTAATACACTTAAAAAAGTCTTAACAGTTGATAGGCTTAGTAGTGTTACAGATTTGTCAGAATCAGAAAGTATCCTCTTTGCAAATACTTTGTGGAACAGAAGACCTTCATACAAATAACCTTTAAATTTCCACTAGTCCAATTCAAACAGAGGCTTCACTTGTTACTGTCAGTGTGTGCCAAAGCCTTTTAGTAAGGAGTCCTTTAAAAAGTAAATAGGTTTGGCCCTGGCAGGGTAGCTCAGTTGGTTAGTGTTGTCCTGATACACCAAGGTTGTGGGTTGGATTATACAAGAAGCAACCGATGAATCCATAAAGTGGAACAAAAAATCGATGTTTCTCTCTCTCTAAAACCAACAGTAATAAAAAAAAAGATAAATAGGTTTGGGATAAGGACCTGGATTATCAGGGAAGATTTATTTCTTAGAAAAAAATCTAATTTCCTTTTGAAACCAATGGCTAAAATTTAATGCAATTGCTTTTGTAAAACTAAATCAAGATTTCTGAACACCATTTTTATCCTATGTTGTTTTTTATTTCAAGGTATCCTCCAAGGCAGCAATCACTGACTATGGCCTCTTGGGTTTTGAGGATGCTTCCTAGGAATGGCCGTTCCTTGGCGACATCATCAGAGAACCAGCGAGTTGGGGATTATCTTCGTCACCATGAGGCCTATGGGTACTTCTTGCCCATCCAGACGAGGTGGCAGGACAACGACCAGTACGGCCACGTGAACAATGTCGTGTACTACAGCTACTTCGACACCATTGTCAACCACTACCTGATCAGGTAGGCGTGGGTCCCGCAGCCCCACATCCTCACTCAGCCCTCTGGAGTGCCCTCAGTGGGAGTTCACGCAGGGTGCTTTGGGAAGAGATTTCCCACCATTTTCCTCCGCTGTGCACCTCTTTTGTTGAGTCACATTATTCCACATTATTCCTGAAAGTCATATTATTCCACAGGAAAACAGGAGGGCCCACACGTTGGTGAGGAAAGTGTCGCCCTGCTGCTCCTGCCGTCTCAGGTGTTACTGTATCTTGGTCCTTTGACCTAAACTGTCAGCAAATGTGCAGGCTCTGAATCTCAAATAAGCATCTACACAATAAACCATGTAATATCCAGACCCTGGGCAACCCGAGCAGACAGAACATCAGCCCTCAAGGCCTTTTTGTGAGAAAAGCAGCTGCTTCCCCCACTGAGGGCACATAAGGAGGTGGAGAGAGAGTAAAGATGGAAAGATGTTTGTTATAGTTGCTGAATGCCCTTGAGGCATGATTGCCATCCCATAGGTATGTTTGTAAGATTTGTTAGTATTATTTGGTTAATATAATTCTCTATGTGAAAGATTGTGTTGTATAGACAGATCTGCGTAAATCCTGGTTTTGTCTTGTATTAGCTATGCAGTTTTGGTCAAATTATTTAGCCTTATTGAGTCTTCTGTAAAAAAACCCCTCACATTTATTAAGAGCTTTCTCTGTGTCTAGCACTGTAAAGCATTTTATACAGATTTTCTTATTTAATCCCAAGATGAGAGAGTAGCCGATTGTCAATGCACTGCTTGGACCTCTGGCCTATACCCTTTTGGGGCACACTGGGCTGTCATCTGTCAGCACCAACATTTATTTGCCTAAGGACTACCCCTGGCCTTAGGATGCCTTTTGCAGCCAGGCCAGAAGTGCAAGGAATTGATGCCTCCTAGAAGCAACCTTCAGTCACTCACTGATGTGAGTTGATGCATAAATGCTGCGGCTTCCTCACCTCTTGACAATCTCTGATCACTTCACACAGATTCCCAGGCTTCTCTAATGGGATTAAGCTCCAGTTGTCAGATTGATACCTTTTTTAAAAAAAGAGAGAAATAAAATTTACATAACATGAAATATACTACTTTAACCATTGTAAAGTATACAAATTCAGTGGCTTTTTGTATATTCACAATATTGTGCAACCATCACAATGTCTAATTCTAGAACATCTCTATCACCACCCCCCTGAAAAGAAACCCTATACTTATTAGCAGTCAATCTCAATTTCCCTTTCCTCCCATCCCCTGGCAATCATGAATCTACTTTCTGTCTCGATAGCTTACCAATTCTGGACACTTCATATAAATGGAATCATACAACATGTAGTTTTCTGTGTCTGGCTTCTTTCACTTTATGATGTTTTCAAGAGTGATCCATGCTGTAGCATGTGTCAATACTTGTTCCTTTTTATGGCTGGATGATAGTCCAATATTGTTTATTCATCAGTCGATGGATATTTGGGTTGTTTCCACTTTTTGGCTATTATGAATAATGCTGCTGTGAATATTTGCATACATGTTTTTGTATGCACATGTTTTCAATTCTTTTGGGTATATACCTAGAATTGAATTGCTGCATCATATGGTAACTCTGTATTTGACTTGTTGAGGAACCCTCAAACTGTTTTCCACAGTGGCTATGCTGTTTATATTTGCACCAGCAATATATGAGGGTTTTAATTTCTCCACATCCTCACCAACATTTGTTGTTATCTTTTTTATTACAGCCATCCTGGGGTGTGTGAAGTGGTATCTCATTTTGGTTTTGGTGATGACTAGTAATGTGTCGAGCATCTTCCCATGTTCTTGTTGGCCTTTGGTGTATTGCCTTTGGAAAAATATCTAATCAGATTATTTTCCATTTTTTCAGTTAGGTTATTTGTATTTTTATTGTTGGGTTGTAATAATTCTTTATATGTTTTAGGTACTAGACCCTTATGATATGTATGATTTGCAAATACTTTCTGCCATTCTGTGGGTTTTTTCACTTTCTTGCTAGTGTCCTTTGACCACAGAAGTTATTAATTTTGATGACAGAGTGGTAACTTTAAAAGTAGCAAATGCATCTTTATTGGCTACTGTCCTTTCCTGCCCCTTCCTCACTTCTGCAGGAGTGCTAAATCTACAGAAAATACCTTACAGTTTTCACTCACAGCAGGTTTGCCGTGTCAGGGAGCTTAAATTTCTTCTTTCAAAAGAACATGTGTAGAACAACTTTCACCTTGAGAGTCCTGGTTCTCCCTTGGGTGATATGTGGTCCTCAGTCTTCAACGCATTTACTTTGTGTATGCCTGGCAGTAATTTCTCTAGAAGTAGCTTGCACTTGCTTACCTGTGAATAATAAACTGTCTTTTTTCAGCACTCATGTTAGCTTTTAGGAGAATGTGTGCTTTATACCTTGAAATCCATGGGGAAAAATAAAAACAGCATTTGAGGCTCCTTGTAATTTCACATCATTTGTCAAATAGGTAACTTCACAGTGAATTTTCCAACTTGGTCCAGGGCTACTTATTCTTTTTAGGAAGGAATTTGTAACTACTTCGGATTAACTCTTAGGAATCGTCTCAACGCAGTCAGGACCTAGTGGTGTGTCTTAGTCAGTTGAGGCTACTATAACAGAATACCATAGACTGGGTGGCTCAGACAACAGAAATTTATTTCTCATAGCTCTGTAGTCTGGGAGTTCCAGATCAGGGTACCAGCACGGTTGAGTTCTGGTGAGGGCCCGCTTCCTGGTTTGCGGGCAGCCACCTTCTTACTCTATCCTCCCATGGCTGAGAAAAGAGACTCTAGTCTCTTTCTCTTCTCATAAGGACATTAATCCCATCATGGGGGACTCCAGCCTCATGACCTCACCCAAACCTAATTAATTCCCAAAGGATCCACCTCCTAATACTGTGCCATTGGGAGTTAGGGTTTCAACATATGAATTTTGGGAGAACATAGACCTGTAGCTCGTAACATGATTTTTGTGGATTTTGAATGTCTCCCATTCGTGAACGCGGCTTCTGGAAAAACGATGTGCTAAACATGCTGGTTGAGTCTTTTCTCCAGTGGGGATTGTGGGGTAGTGATGGGGGTTGGCAGCAGGAATTTCTACCAGAATAGAGAGTGTCCCATCTCATGTAGAAATCTTTAGGTATTATACAATGACTCCAAAATTGTGAAAATACCCTGGCTACTGTGGCCAGGGACTTCCTAGTCAGGACAAAAGGTGGGTTTACCTTTATACTTTTGCTAAGAGATCTGGGGATTATTTACTAGGTTGCTCACTGACTGTTGGAAGCCCAGCCAGCACCACATAAAGGTGTGAGAATTTCACCAGTCATTGTGAGGAAGGGCAGCTGGTCACACCCAAGCCATGCCTCCCAGCCAGGCCTGCACGCTCACCTCCTTCCACCGGGCTTTCTAAAGATGGGCAACGTGGTGCTTGCACCAAGATAACCAATGAGGAAAACCCTCATCCAGAACATTCCTCCTTTGGGGGGGTTTCTCCAGGAGAGGGGCCAGGGAGTTGCGGAGGGTGTGGAGGAGGGATGGATGAGAGAGAGCAGAAGAGACCACAGGCTGCCCAAAGTTCCCATCACTTTGACACGCTGGAAGGGGTTAAGTCATTCTTGAACAGTTTATCGCTCATCAATTGCAATTAAATATGTTTATATTAAATTATGTTCTGTAATTAATGTAAAATCCTTTAGCCTATGCTGTTATTAGAACCAGATGCTGAAGTACCAACAATATTTCAACATGACTGTGCTGCCTCGCCAGCTGTCTAACTGTAATTACTTTAATCTCAGCTTGTTATCTAATTATCACCTTTGTAAAGGGAAAAGTACTCTCTAATGCCTACTGATTGTTTCAGATGATGATGAAGAGCAGGGAACAGCTGTCAGAGATCTGGGCCTGCTTATCACAGTGAAGGAACTTATCCTGAAGCTTCTGCAGGGCCAAACCGCTGAAGAGAAATGTCCCAGGCGGGAGCAGGGGACTGGCCAGTAAGGGGAGACAGTTGGTGTGGAGGTTAAGGGTGTGGCCCCTGTGGATAAACTGCCAGGTGACACCTGTCTCCTACAGTGATGGCTGGGGGACAGGCTACCTGGTCCATTGCCACATCTATAACACAGAGACAGGAATAGAACCAGCCTCTGTCTCAGAGGACTGGTGTGACGATTGAAGGAGATCAGGCATGGGGAGCCCTCCGCACAGCGCTTGATGAAATTTAACATCACTTGGTAAATGTGAACTATTTTTTTCCTTTAAAAAAAGATCAGTGTTGGTTTTCTACGTCCCCACGATGAGTTTGTTTTCCACATTACGTTTAAATTCTGCCACTTTGGGACTGAATTTTACCTTTCCATTGCTTATTCAGAAATGGTTTACCAATCTGTCGAGAGTCTAAGTGAGTATCGTCAGGGAGATCTTGACGCTCTCGAGGCGGACAGAGCGTTTGGGGATATCTTTCAGTACTTTATGCATGTATTTGCATATCAGCAGTTGATGTGGTAGCTGTAGTTCATTCCACCATAACCATTAAAGCCAGTTCCCTTAGGATGTTTATTAAGCTTTTAATGTCCCCTCATGCGTCACCTCTCGGGGCAGGACGGTACCTCGGTCATTTATATATTGAGTGTATAGCCTGGTCTGGCACATACTTCGTCCTCAGTGACCGTTCCTTGAAAGAACTAAACAAGATTCCTCATTCTCGGGCCATGCTGGATCACCCAGGGCTTTTCCTTCCCGATGGAGTGAAGCACCGACTCCTGGGGCCTTGAGGCAGGTCTCCGTCTCCAGGATTTCTCGCCACACGTTCCTGCGTCCTCATATCAGTAAACTGCCAAGCAGGCTGTCGTGACAGAGCCCCCAGGGGCAACAGGAGCAGGAGGCGGAGCTGGCACACCCGGAGCCGTGCACCCGAGGAGGGCAAAGCGGGGGGTCTTTAATGTCAGGAGTGCGCAGATTCAAACAGGTCGCTTTATGAGAGGGG